CATGGGTTTGAATCCCGGTTAACTCTGTGATGTGATGTAGAAGGATGGTCTCAGAGTAGTAATTTGTGTTTGCCAACCTTGAATTTTCCTGCTGATGATAGCATATATATTTATTTTTTGAAAAGTTAAGTTGTCTTGTCTGGTGAAATGAGCATATGGGTCCATACAACATTAAACCTCCTCCAGACTTTTTAGTCATTCAGGAGATCCTTCTGGTGTAAGTGTTCCATTTAAGTTTGTCAATAAAATTTTGTCAGCAACATGCCTGACAGACGGCCGCCACATAGCTGGAATATTGCTGAGTGCGGCATTAAACAACAAACAACCAGCCTTTGGGATTACCTTCTACATTTAACTGACAGAATGATTCTGTGAAGGCCAAACTACAACTTAAAACATATATTGCTTCCAAGAATGACAAGCAGAAAGTGCATTTGGTTGGAATTGTGAAATATTTATGAAGGTCACCAGGAAATATGACAACAATACATGTGCTACTTCTTCCCTTGTGTTGTCACGGCTGAGAGTGCATTAGATGTTCCAGCCAATTATTTGTTATCTGGAGCTGTCTGTATAATTTGTTCATGAGTCGGAGGTGTTTCTCTGCTCTATGGGCTAGCATCACCCAATGGACGACACCGATGGTGCAGCTGGTCATCAGACGAAGACAAATCCTATTCCCTTTCCACGATAATGAGAAGATTATTATGAAAGTGTAAAAGGACCCTTGAGAGTCTGAAATGTTGTTGAATCGATGCATTAAAACTCCCAGGAGTCAGGAGTGGGAATGAAGAGTCAGGCCAGGAGACTTTTGAGTTTTGTGTCACAATCGTCGCCATGACCCATGGTGACAACATATGTATTTGAAACTTTCGTAGGTTTACACACTCACAACATCACACTGTAATGAATTCTTTTAGCCAAGTATTATATGTGTGTGTTACTCATGAGTAGTGTGAAGCCCATTTCTGGTGTCCCCCGCTGTGATGTTGCTGAAATATTGCTAAAAGCTGCGTAAAACCAAACGCTTTAACCACTAGGCTATCCCACTGCCCCGATACTGCGAAGAATCAGGTAAAGGTGTTATTGTCAGATTTAGGGGCGGTGGGGTAGCCTAGTGGTTAAAGTGTTGGCTCGTCACGCCAAAGACCCGGGTTCGAATCCCCACATGGGTACAAAGTGTGAAGCCCATTTCTGGTGTCCCCCGCCGTGATGTTGCTGGAATATTGCTAAAAGTGGCGTAAAACCAAACTCAGTCAGTCAGTCAGTATTGTCAGATTTGACAGCAACTGTTAGTCACCTATGTTATACTTTCATCAGTCTACATTTTCCAGATGTCAGATTGACACAGGACATCAAAGAAATCAGCAATTCCATCAGGGGACACCAGAAAAGGGTTTTGCATATTGTACCCATATTTGGAATCAAACCCAGGTTTCCATATAATGTTGAACACTTAAACCTCTAGGCCACCCCAGTAGTAGTGGTAAATGAATTCATTAATTTTGTTCATCAGTACAGAACAATTCCATTCCCTGCAGTCATACATTCCTAACAGCTTTAAAATCTTCGTACAAGAAAAAGTTTCACCAACTTTCTTTGCAGAAGTTTCAAACAAAAAAATACCCTGTTTTTAAATTGGATGTCTGAATCTTCAAGACTAAAATATGCACTTTCCTAGCGGAGTCTCTGTGGAATATTTCCCCCAACATAGACACAGCACATATTCATGTAAAAATGTCAAGATGTTTTCAGCTGAAAAACACCACTCCAGATAAGTGTTCAGCTGTAGGAGGAAACATGATTATACCGATTGTCATGAGTAGCCGCAGTGGTCGGGGAAAAACACAAGTTCACCAACAGGCTCAGGTGTCTCAACAAAAAATGAAATAGCTGATAATGTCAAATGCAAAACATGGATTGAGTTTCTGGAGGATCCATGTCTTGAGTGTCATGTGACCTTCTGTCATTGGTGATGTGATAAAGATGGCCTGTCCCAGAGAACAGGATCTTAGAAACCAGGGCCTAGATTTTCGAAGCTCTCTTAGCGCTAAGATAGTCGTAAGTGCCATTCATTCACATTAACTTACGACTATCTTAGCGCTAAGAGAGCTTCGAAAATCTAGGCTCATATTCTCTGGATTGAGTTTCATCCAAGGACTGTCTCAGAGTTGTGTCCAAGGAACTTATGTTTGGTGGCCTTGAGTTTTCCTGCTGATGACATTCCCCGGCCGCGTCTTACCAAAAGACGTTAAAATATGGTACTTGTTGGTCCCTGCCTGGTGTTCGGCATTAATGGGTACAACAAGGACTGGTCGGCTCGGAGTCAGTATAATGTGTCTGAGTTGGGTATTCATGCTTCACTGCGGCATGGTATCTCAGTGAGCTAGCACTATAAAACCAGCTTCAGTCTGGGCTAGTACAAGCAGCCGCACTTACACATACACACGCATGCAGGTCGTCATATGAGCGAAATATTCTCAAGCACGACGTTAAACCCAATTTCACCTCACGTCACCTGCTGATGATAGCATGTATTATTTCAAAAATTAAGTTGTGCTGTCTGATGAAATGGACATATAACCATACAACTTTAAATCTCCTTCACTATTTTTGTCATCCAGAAGCTCCTTCTAGCTGTAAGTGCTAGATGGTGGAAGGCGGCTGGTTTTCATAAGTAGCATCTGCTGGACAGAAAAAAATGGAATGTTCAGGCGCACTACTTAAACGATCAAAGAAAGTGCTTTCTCAAAAGATGTTACTTCTTGTTTTTTAAGCATGATAGTTTAGAAAGTTCCAAGGTTGAATTGTACGTAGGTGGAATTCAGACTTGTGGGGCTCAGATCTTTGGTGGGAATGATAGACCCTCGGTAGATCTGTCAGATCAATTGGTAGCAGTGACAGACCCTTGGTGGGAATGACAGATCCTGGGCAGGATTGATGGATCCTTGGTGGGAATGACAGATCCTTGGTGGGAATGACAGATCCTTGATGGGAATGACAGAGCCTTGATGGGAATGACAGATCCTTGATGGGAATGACAGATCCTTGATGGGAATGACAGATCCATGACAGATCCTTGATGGGAATGACAGATCCTTGATGGGAATGACAGATCCTTGGTGTGAATGACAGACCCCTGGTGGGACTGACAGGTCCTTGGTGTGAATGACAGACCATAGGCAGAACTGACAGATCCTTGGTGGGAATGACAGACCATAGGCAGAACTGACAGATCCTTGATGGGAATGACAGATCCTTGATGGGAATGACAGATCCTTGATGGGAATGACAGACCATAGGCAGGACTGACAGATCCTTGGTGTGAATGACAGACCCCTGGTGGGACTGACAGGTCCTTGGTGTGAATGACAGACCCTGGGTAGGACTGACAGATCCTTGATATGTCTGACAGACCCTGGGTAGATTACTGACAGATTCATGGTGGGTCTGACAGACCCTGGGTAGGACTGACAGACCTTGGGTAAGATTGACAGATCCTTGGTGGGAATGACAGATCCACCTATACCGCTATGAAAATAGGATGTATTAAACGCTGTTTATATGTACACTTAAAATAATTGCAATATATATATATTCAAGTTCCTGTTTTAAGAGACAGTGGAGCAGTTGTGTGGTTAAGACATTACCTCCTCAAGCTGAAGGTCTGAGTTTGATTCCAGCAAGGATACAGTGTAAGAAGACGATATTTGGCATCCCTTGGTTGTCTTGATAGACAATAATGTGTTGAGTGGTGCAGTGGATAGTGTACTTCCTGGAAATAAAGCAAGGTCTGCTCACCTCGGAGTCAGTATAATCTGTGTATAAGATGTGTATCCATGTATTGTGTGGAATGGTATCTCACTGGGCTGGGACTATTAAACAGACAGATGTCTGAATTAACACAAGAGACCAGACACAAGTATATATGCTCCTCTGCACTAAAACTGCATGGTGTACCGCAATACGCTTTTCAAACGATATGCGTTGTAATATCTTTTGTGAGAACCTGTATATTAGGTAAAGAACATGTATAAAGTTTTTGTGATCATATTTATGGTTTAAATTAAAATCTACATAGACGTCGACTTTATTCATAACAGATGTTTTCCTTCATCATTTAATGACAAAAGGGCGGTGGGGTAGTCTAGTGGTTAAAGCGTTGGCTCGTCACACCGAACACCCGGGTTCGAATCCCCACATGGGTGCAATGAGTGAAGCCCATTTCTGGTGTCCCCCGCCGTGATATTGCTGGAATATTGCTAAAAGCGGCGTAAAACCAAACTCAGTCAGTCAGTTAATGACAAAATGGCATACTGTCATAGATCTACTATAAATTGTATAAACAAAGAAAGTAAAATTCTTGACTATGCAACCTTATTTGAGACTGCTGTTATCAGAACCATAACATATGTTTAGGGACTTAGAAAGTAGACAACAGGATCGACATACACAATAAGTGTCACTTGCTGCCAAACACATAAGTTCTCAATATATCGCAATACGCAATATGGGTACCTGAATCGCAATATATTGCAGTGCAATTTATTTGCCAATACACAGTCCTACTTTGCACAGAAATGAACTAATCTTAAAACTGAATATGTCAGATAGCAAATCTTAGGATATTTAATATCTTGTCCCTTCATTTCATCTTAAAGCAGTATATAAACTCACTCACTCACTTGGTGTGTGGTTTAGCTATATGGTTAACGTGTTTGCTAATCACACTGTATACCCGGGTTCGATTCCCCACATGGGTACAGTGTGTGAAGCCCATTTCTGGTGTCTCCCACAATTATTTATTGGAATATTGCTAAAAGAGGCATACAACCATACTCACTCACTCATGTTTGAATATTTGAAAGACATTTCTCATGAATGAGTGAGTGAGTGAGTTTAGTTTTATGCTGCACTCAGCAATATTCCAGCTATATGGCGGCGTTCTGTAAATAATCGAATCTGGACCAGACTTTCTCATGAATGAAAACTATTTTCAGGATCTGACTGCGAGGCCGACATAGACGACTGTCAGGTGGCGCCATGTCAGAATGGTGGCACTTGTCAAGATGGCGTCAACAGCTTCACCTGTGTCTGTGCTCGAGGCTTCACAGGTGGGACATGTTCAGTGGACATCGACGACTGTCTGCCTGGCCTGTGTTTGTTTGGGTCTACCTGCGTGGACATGGTCAACGGCTACACCTGTATGTGTGCGGCTGGATACACGGAAGATCATGTGACCGCGATATTGATGAATGTGCGTCTGGACCCTGCCGCAATGGAGCCACGTGTGTGGATGGACGAGCTTCATACACCTGCCAATGTCCTTTGGGCTTTACAGGTAGGAGAACGTCAAAATGTAATTTGTGCGAGGGACCAGATCATAGACATATCCTCTGATGTTAGAGTTATATTGATTTTAAAAAAGTCATATTTATATCGAAATTAACCCTGATTTCACTGTTTTAACCCAAAAATAGTTTATTGATGTCAACAAGGTTTAAAGTCTTAACATATTTTTTCAAAGAATATACTAGTAAACAAATGTTCTATTTTTTACATTCTATGTAGTACCTCCATCCCTATCTGTAATCCATGACTTTGGTTTTGTGCTAATCATAATCAATTCTAATTAGGTTGTCTTTAATAGCTTAAAGTTTTTGCAAAGACTTGATTATTAATTTTACAAATTTGAAAGATAATGAAAAATGCTTTTGTGAAGATTTTACGACAGCTTTCAAGATAAATGGCCAATTCTCACCAGACAAGATAAGATTTTGATGATTACTCCATGTCCTTTGGTGAAACATGGAATGGAGTATAAAATTCTGTAATTTCATGGTTCCATCAACAGAATTGTTACAGGCTTTTCTGAATGCAGTGTTCTTGTGTCTTTGATAACGTAATGACACTATAATTAATTACATTTTTTTACATTGAGGTATAAGGTATTTTAATTTTATGACTGATCAAGACATCATTTTATTAACCATCGATGCATGTGGACAGAATTAATGTCTGCTTGGCCTACAGTCTGTTTGAGTCAGAAACGGACCGATGAATTGCAAATTTTATCATTGTACAAAATTGCCACATAAATATAAATAGTACACATGTTTATCATTTACTAATACCCAACAGCTTTCTTATATTTGAAAATTTTCCGGACTCCACCAAAAAAGTTCTTTAAGAAACTATCATCATTGAAAACGCAAAAGTTGTTATCTGTCGCGGCGGGGTGAAACCGCAGAAACAGAACAGCCAGTCATGGCGGGGGACATCTCAAAATCTATTCTATTTGAACTCAAATCAAATCAGTGAGGCTGGATATCTTTCATTTAAGGAGTTTTCACAATATGTTTCTGATCAGGGCGCCAGTGTGAGGTGGACATCGATGATTGTCGTGGGCCAGTGCCGCATCTGTGCGTGAACGGCGCCACCTGTGACGACCGCGTCAACAACTACACCTGCATCTGTAGGACTGGCTGGGAGGGGCGCTACTGTCAGCAGGTATGTACAGTGGTGTCAGTAGGTTTTCTACAATCTCTGTCATATCCATTACATCCTTGGGTCACCGCCTCCGTGGTGTAGTGGTTAGAGCGTCCGCCCGAGAGCGGAAGGTCGCGGGTTCGATCCCCGACCGCGTCATACCAAAAGACGTTAAAATATGGTACTTGTTGGTCCCTGCCTGGTGCTCAGCATTAATGGGTACAACAAGGACTGGTCGGCTCGGAGTCAGTATAATGTGTCTGAGTGGGGTATTCATGCTTCACTGCGGCATGGTATCTCAGTGGGCTAGTACTATAAAACCAGCTTCAGTCTGGGCTAGTACAAGCAACCGCACATACACATACACACACATGCATGTCGTCATATGAGCGAATTATTCTCAAGCACGACGTTAAACCCAATTTCGGCTCACCTCACATCCTTGGGTCAATGTGGGAAAGGTTAAAATATTCTAAAAGGGTGAAGTATAACTGATGTCAGTTGGGTTACACATTGATCAAATCCAGGAACATTGCCCACAATGAACTTTTCCCACTACGAACTTTGTGCACAAAGAACTTTGCCCACAGGAACTTTGCCCACAAGAATCTTTGCCCACAGGAACTGTGCTGACAAGAATCTTTGCCCACAGTAACTTTACCCACAAGAATCTTTGCCCACAGAAACTTTGCCCACAAGAATCTTTGCCCACAGAAACTTTTCCCACAGGAACTTTGCCCACATTAAACTTTGCCCACGAGGAACTTTGCCCATGGGAAGGTTGTTATAGCCATTATGGGTTCACTATGCTATAGACTAACAACTAGTTCTGAAATGAATATATTTTACATTAAAAAACCCAGTTCATAATAAAAAATAAAAAAATATAATGAAAAAGGAGCCCAGAGGATTTCTTCATTAACTGTGGAAATCTAGACTTGCCACATATTCTAGACTTGTATGGGCTTTCTTGGATATGTTTGTTTCAGGGTCTGTATGACAGACTAACTATGCTATTAAATACCCTTTAATGATTTTTCAAGAAAAAGTTATTTGAAAGTTATAGAGTCTTGTACACATTTGGTTTTGAAAAATTTATATACAACATAAGTATAGCTGAAAATTAATTTACCATATGTGAGATCCTGTGACCTGTCTCCATTTTCCATCATTCTTGGTGTTTCAGGAGATAGACGAGTGTAAACCGACCATGTGCTAATGGCGGCTTGTGTATTGATGGCTTCAAGAACTTCACCTGCAAGTGTCCAAACATCTTCCAGGGCATCACCTGCAGCGATGATGTTGATGAGTGCAGGGGAGATAACTCACCATGCCTCAATATGGGCAGGTGCAACAACACCTATGGCTCTTACACCTGTGACTGTGGGCAAGGTAGGTGCCACTTGAAGTGTATGCAGTGTTTATCCTACCCCATTTTTTACAGGATCAGAGTTTATCATTTGTGGATATCTGACACAGGGCAGGTCTCCAGTAACCGAGCTTTGCTGTTGTTGAGATGACCCAAGAGATCAGATTGTCAAACTGTTTATTTGTCTGTGTGTTTAATGCCACACTCAGCAATATTCCAGCTATATGGTGGTGGTTTGTAAATCAAATCTAGACCAGATAATCCAGTGATCAACATCATGAGCATCGATCTATGCAATTGGGATACAATGACATGTGTCAACCAAATCAGCGAGCCTGACCACCCGATCCTGTTAGTCACCTCTTACGACAAGCATGGGTTGCTGAAAACCAATTCTAACCCAGATTTTCATGTTGATTGAGTCTCATTAAACCCTAGAGGTACAATGAGACTTGATCAACCAGGATACCGTTGGGAATGCTGAGGGTTGCTGCTCACACTATCAATCACTGGATTGTCTGGTGCAGACTTTATTGTTTACTGGGTGCTGCTGTAGAGCTGGAATACTGCTGGAGTGCAGCATTAAACAACAGACAAAGAACAGAGCATCTCTGGTAATTCAGGAAACTGAGACGAGCAGTTTCCACCTTCCACAGTTTGTCGAGATGTAAAACAAAAAACAAACAGAAGAGCATGTGATGGCTAATTTTACTAACGAAAAAAGGAGAAAATTTGTCGATCATATGCAGGTTTCTGTCTTCATGTTTTAGGTCAAGGAATATACATGAAAAAGCACCAAAAGTTGTCTTTTATGCGGTAAAAATTGTTAAAATCTAGATTCATGCATGGAAGTATTTATTCAATATATGTTGGAGTTGTCAATATTAATATGATTTCTTAATGAGTTGTATTAGATTTCAGTGACGACCTCTGTGTATGCTGACTGGACCAGAGACCATATAATATAATAGGTCTCTGAATGGACATATTATATAATTTACAGGTTACTCTGGAAGCCATTGTGAATCCGATATTGACGAATGTCAAGGTCATCCATGCCACTTCAACGGGACATGTGTGAACCTGATTGGTGGATATCGATGCGACTGTGTGGAGGGTTTCATGGGGAAGAACTGTGAGGCTGTCATACGACAGTGTCAGTTCGACAATCCGTGTAGGGACACTGCTGTATGTGTAGAGAAGCCTTCTGGTAGGTTCAGAATATTATCTCAGTACATCCTCCACACCTACGGATTGATTGGTAAATTCTTTTTATCCCCCGCAACGCGTTTTGCGGGGGGGGGTTTATTAAAATGGACTCCGTCTGTCCGTCCGTGCACATTTGTCTTTTCCGGAGCAGAACTCTAAAACCGTTCACTATTTCTTCACCAAACTTGGCACATAGATAGATCTGGTGGTGTACTGGTGCCTTTTGGTAGTTTTGGAATTCTGAATAAAATATTTTTGGCTTTTCCGTGGCAACAAGTTTGACTTAGCCTGAAATTGGTGGTAGTGCTCTTTTCCGGAGCAGAACTCTAAAACCGTTCACTATTTCTTCACCAAACTTGGCACATAGATTGGTCTGGTGGTGTACTGGTTCCTTTTTTGTAGTTTTGGAATTCTGAATAAAATATTTTTGGCATTTCCATGGCAACAAGTTTGACTAAAACAGAAATTAGTGGTAGTGCACTTTTCCGGAGCAAAACTCTAAAACCGTTCAATGTTTCTTCACCAAACTTGGCACATACATAGATCTGGTGGTGTACTGGTGCCTTTTGATAGTTTTGGATTTCTGAATAAAATATTTTTGGCATTTCCATGGCAACAAGTTTGACATAGACTGAAATTGGTGATAGTGCTCCTTTCTGGAGCAGAACTTTAGAAACCTTTCAATACTCTCCTTCCACATTTCTATATACATACCTAAATATTTGACATAATCATAACTCGTAGACATTATCATGAAGAGTATTTTGACATTGCGGGGGATATTGATGACTTTGTCTTCTTGTTTATTTTTATCCCCTGCAGCAATGAATATAGAAATGAGTTATGTCCGTCCGTCTGTGCATCCGTCACACTTTGTCCGAAGCATATCTTTTAAACTATACATGCTAGCTTCATCAAACTTGGTACACATATCAAGCATGATCCACAGATGTGCCTTTTGGGGTTAGACTCAGATATGAATTTTATTTTTTGCTGTTTCCATGGAAACATGACTTAGGCTGTGGCTATGAGGTTGTCATCTTGTCCGGAGCAGATCTCCCAAACTATACATGCTAGCTTCATCAAACTTGGTACATATGTCAAACATGATCCCTAGATGTGCCTTTTGGGGTTTAGACCCAGATATGAATTTTATTTTTAGCTGTTTCAATGGAAACATGACTTAGGCTGTGACTATGAGGATGTTGCATTTCCATGGCAACAAGTTAGGCTTCAACTGAATTTGGTGGTAGTGCTCCTTTCTGGAGCAGATCTTAAAATCCTTTCAATATTCTCCTTCCACTTTGCTATATACACTCCAAAACATTCGACATAATCATAACTAGCAGACATATTCATAAAGAGTATTTTGCCGTTGCTGGGGATATTGATGACTTTGTCTTCTTGGTTTTTTTTATTGGTAAATTGCAATTACCCCTCTTGATAAATATCATCTTAAGTCCCAATTCCAGAAGAGTCCATCTTGGACTTAACGATCTATGTGCGAAGATGAACTTTCCAGGTATCAAATACTGAATAGGACCTATCAATCTAAACAGACATAGTACTTATCTCTTAAGTATGCCCCAATAGCATATTCAATCCACAATCTCAATGTTTCAGTGGATGTTTGGACATTTGTTGTTTCTTTGTGTTTCAGGTGGATATACATGTTTTTTGTAAACCTGGTTACCATGGCAACAGGTGTGAACTTGAGATCAACGAGTGCTCCTCGAATCCTTGTCGTAATGGCGGCAGTTGCCATGACGGCATCAACTTCTATAACTGTTCGTGTGTGGAAGGTACGTATCCTACAGCTCTGGATGCTTCCACTGATGGTTGAAACGGAATCATTTTATACATTGATATATTGGTAGCAGTATCTAAGGTCTTTTTATTATTACTTGGCTTACGGATCTGCCGACCCGAAATGTGAAGAAAGTGTGATTTAAAAAAAAAAAATTACATATTTCTTTTAAAAAAATTACATATTTTTTTGGGCCAAAATATGCTGCCAACCTGATAAAAAACAATGAAAGTGAAGAAAAGAGAAAAAAAGCTAATTATGCCTTTCAAATATTCCCTGAAACTGTTTTATATTTTACAAAAGACAATCACATAAATCGTCAGAACTCATAACACCACGATATACTCCCAGATAGCATTCGGACGTTGGCCCATCGTTGGCAATGTTGGCAAAACCATTGCCAACATTGGGCCAACGTCTGAATGCTATCTGGGCTCAAGTGTGCAAATAACATCTGCATATTCCCGGGTTTTTTTCCTCCCTACCGACCTACTAATGTTCTTTTTAAATCCATACACCAAGTAATTAAATACAAAAGGCCTAAGTGTATTTGTATGGGGTTCCCAGTGATAAGTCTGCAGTAGGCTTGGAACTTTTATCTGTGTGTTTTTCGTCATACTTACTCAGTATGGATGAATGAGTTTACTTTAACATTTTTGGTGTAGCTTGTTCTAATTGTTGTATTTTATTTGTCGTACATTTGAAATGGTTTCTCATGTCTGAAAGTGTTCAGATATTTCTATCTTTCCTCGTTTCCTAGGTTACGAAGGGAAGAACTGTGAGGTGGACATCAATGAATGTGCAAGTCAGCCTTGTTTGAATAAAGGCGTGTGTTATGAGCCTGACATCAACACCTTCGGCTGTAAGTGTCGGCCTGGCTTCACCGGCATCACTTGTGATGTCGACATCAACGACTGCGTCTCCAACCCGTGCCAACACTACCAGGTGTGTGTGGACCGAGTTAACCACTACAGGTAAGTCGCATCACCGGGGCGGTGGGGTAGCCGTGTGGTTAAAGCGTTCACTCGTCACATTAAGACCTAGGGTTCGATTCCCCACTCCGGTAGAATGTGTGAAGCCCATTTCTGGTGTCCCCTGCCTTGATATTGCTGGAATATTGCTAAAAGCAGCGTAAAGTTAAACTCACTCACCCACTCACTGAATCAGGCAGATTAATTCGTTCAGTTCGTGTTTTAATGATTAGTTACCATAACTGTAGCAGAACACAGTGTGGTTGATGCCATGTACATGCACTCAGCAATTTGTTAGTGAGAGTTATCTCCCTTTCTGGTATTGGATGAGGCCCATTTAAGGATGGGGCGAAGTTAGGGTTTAGCTATAACAACCAGTCTGGAAGAAGGTTGGTGGTTTGGTTATAAAAGAAACCTCAGTTTGAACCCAGAATCATGCCCATTACCAGGATCCTTGATTATAACCTTTGGTCTTTCAGCACAATACCTATGCTCGCAGTCGCACCAAAGTCATAAACCTTTTTGACGTGCATCTCCTTTCTCCCTAACTTAGACAGGCGGTAGGGTAGCCTAATGGTTAAAGTGTTGTCTCGTCATGCCAACTGGGTTTGATTCCCAACATGGGTACAATGTGTGAAGCCCATTTCCCCCTTTGTGATATTGCTGAAATATTGCTAAAAGCGGCGTAAAACCATACTCATTCACTCACTCCCTCACTTAGATGACACATTCCAACGTAGCTGAGAAAGCAGCATGAAACATAACTCCTTCATTCCGCTACACACACCTACTCCTCAGTGATTTGAAGTCTAGACTTCCAAGTTCAGATGAAATATAATTATTTAACTTTTTCATTCGTGAATTATAGAGTGAATGTGTAAATTGATCAGATTGAAGTATGTGAAATATTGTGTTCCAGCTGCGAGTGCCCCCCTGGGATGACAGGAGATGTGTGTAATGTCCATATTGATGATTGCCACAGTAGCCCCTGTAACAACCATGGCACCTGTGTGGACATCGGCAACACGTACATCTGCCAGTGTCCGTACCCATACACTGGCAGGAACTGTGACACTGATGTAGACCCCTGCTTCCCTAACCCCTGTCTCCATGGTGGCACATGTTTCCGTGACAACAGCGTTGCCGAGGGATACAGATGTACCTGCACTGGTGGTTTCATTGGCAATCGTTGCCAGGGTGATGTGTACGACTGTCGGTCCAACCCCTGTCAGAACGGTGGTACGTGTGTTGAGAACACTGATGGACATGCAGGCTTCAAATGTCGGTGTTCGAAAGAGTTTGCAGGGACGTACTGTGAGCTTCAGTCAGACGACTGCATGTCTTCGCCATGTCAGAATGGAGGAACTTGCACACCAAAACAAAATGGTAACGATTTGCAGTTTTCTTATTTGAAAAAGATATATTTGTTGTATAAGATGAATCATATTCTAGCTCTACTATATTTGTTACAAGTTACGACCCGTGAAGATCGGGGTTAGAATGGATCCTCACTAACCCATGCTTGTCGTAAGAGGTGACTAACGGGATTGGGTGGTCAGGCTCGCTGACTTGGTTGACACATGTCATCGTATCCCAATTGCGTATATCAAGGCTCATGATGTTGATCACTGGATTGTCTGGTGCAGACTCGATTATTTTATGACCACTGCCATATAGCTGGAATATTGCTGAGTGCAGCGTAAAACTAAATTCACTCACTCACTTGTTACAAGTTACACAGAATGCCTCCTTGGCCCAGTGGATAGAGTGCCTGCCTGGAGAGCAAATGGTTCATGGTTTGATCCCTGATGTTTAAAAATGGTACTTGTTGTTACCTTGACTGGCAATAGGCGTTATAGAGATACAACAAGGATAGGTTAACTCGGTAGTCTATATGCTGTGTGGGGCACCCGTGATGGTCAGGGTTAGAATATTGATCTTCAGTAACCCATGCTTGTCGTGAGAGGTTACTAATGGGATCGCAGGGTCCGGCTCGCTGACTTGGTTGAAACATGTCATCGGTTCCCAATTGCGAAGATCGATACTCATGCAGTTGATCGCTGGATTGTCTGGTCCAGACTCGATTATTTACAGACCGCTGCCATATAGCTGGAATATTGCCGAATGTGGCGTAAAACTAAGCTCACTCACTCACTGAGTGGGGTATCTATGTTAAACCGTAGCAGACTTGAAGCAAACACATAGACTCATGTATTTGCATATTGCTATTTAAGTGCAATAATTATTGATGGAAGCAACACAGTAACTGCAGTCGTGAACAGACTTCTTAACACTCTTCTTCATCTCAACAGGCTACACATGTCAGTGCCCTTTAACATACACGGGTAAGGACTGTCGTCAAGACGTCAACGAATGCGACCAATCAGCAGTTCTGTGTCAGAACGGTGGGCACTGCTTCAATCGGATTGGTGGATACAGCTGTGTGTGCAGCCCTTATTGGACAGGCCCCAACTGCCAGGTGGACATCAAGGAGTGTCAGCTGAGTCCATGTCGGAACAATGCCACCTGTATGGAGGTGGTGGGTGGGAGCCCCCGGTGTGTGTGTCCTCCTGGTGAGTTTGGTGTGGGTCCCAGTCTGTGGTCTGAATCCAAGTCTGTGGTGGGAGCCCCCGGTGTGTATGTCCTCCTGGTGAGTTTGGTGTGAGTCACAGTCTGTGGTCTGAATCCAAGTCTGTGGTGGGAGTCCCCAGTGTGTACGTCCTCCTGATGAGTCCCTGTCTGTGGTTTGAATTCAAGTCTGTGGTGGGAGCCCCCAGTGTGTATGTCCTCCTGGTGAGTTTGGTGTGAGTCACAGTCTTTAAATCCAAGTATCCGGGTGCAAGGAGGTAGTCATGTGAGTTTGGTGTGAGTTTGATTGCAGTCAAGCAACTAAACTTTGTCTACATGTTGCTTGAGTGAGATAAATCATCTTCAGAGATGCCAACCCTTACGCTCTAGGCGTAATTATTACAATTTTGACCATTAAATTACGCCATTACACATAATCTGCAAAAATTACTGACGCTTTTCTACTCGTTTTAAGAAAATCAATAAAGTGGATAAATTTTCACAGGGAAGTGTTTCGTAACGCACAGGTGCAGGGGTGCAGAAATGGCCTTGCACCGATAGGAATCGCTTACTCTTAGCATCGCACTCATTCCAATTAACTTGCAAGGAATTAAAGTATTTTGAGTCACATGACCAAACTTTTCGATGTATGGAGCTTCATAATGATTGGTCACATGTGTTTCTGTATAGAATCTTCCTTTCGTGAAAACTTGTACCATGTTGAAGCGATCGGCAGACAATTATTACACTTTTTAGGTCCAAATTACACTTTTTGACCTCTAGTATTACACTAAGTTAGGCCCCAAATAGGGTTGCCATCTCTGCATCTTAATATGTTTTTCTTCTCAACTGAAGTTTGTCACAGCCTACCTTGTTCCTGATCCAGGTTTGACCGGAGCTACATGTGAATCAAGGGACTACGGGTGTGAGATCTCACCGTGTCGGTCTGGGGAACCTGCGTGCAGCAGGGGGATGCCTACATCTGTCAGTGTTACCCTGGATACACAGGTGAGTCCTCCTCCTCATCCAGCATGGTCTTATCGTCGTCCACATCACTTAATGTGTGACTTTGTCAATGTCTCAGTCGAGGGTTTAAATTTGTTAACATTCCTTACTGTTAAATAATATGAAATTTTGGATTAAATCAGTAAAATACCTACCAAGTCTTGAAATATGCAACCTATTTGAAAAATAAAAACATTTGTTTCTGATTAAACATATAGTCAGCGCCTGTCTGTCTGTCCTCGTCTTTCTGGAGCATAACTAAAACACTGTTGAATATTTTTCAACAAAAGTTGGTATAAATATCAAACAGAGCCTAAAGTGGTGCCTTTTGGGGCATTTTCATTTTTCTTGGTTTCCTTGGAAACAATTTGGACTTAGTCTCAAAAGGGAGGTTTGGGCTTTGTTTCTGGAGCACAACTTGAAAACCTTTCAATAGCTTTCAACAAAAATTGACAGATATATGAGACAGATCCTAGGGTGGTGCCTTTTGCTATATGCAGTTTTGTCATTATATTTTCCTCAATTTCCATGGAAACAATTTGGGGGATTTGTCATCTTCTGATGACTCTTGTTTTGTTTTGTGTCAGGTGCCAACTGCGAGACCAACATAGATGAGTGCAGTTTACTCCCCTGTAAGAATGGGGGCACATGCACCGATGCTAGTAATGACTTCAGCTGTCGGTGTGCTCCCAACTTCACTGGGCTGACCTGTACGGAACTCATCAGCCCCTGTGATCCTAACCCCTGCCAGCATGGGGGCACCTGTCAGGAGGGTGTGCCGGGGGTTTTCCAGTGTGCATGTCCCCAGGGCTACACAGGTAAGGAAGACTTCAGGTGTTCGCCCTGCCACACCTGTACGGAAATCCATGTGCATCAACTAAACTGTTGTAGTAAAACATTTGTATATCTGTAAAAACACTGCACCAAGAAAAACGCCTTGCATCAATCATCAGTGAAAGCACATGCATTAGTAAAAGCACATGCATTGGTAAAAAGCACATGCATTAGAAAAAGCATATGAATTGGTCAAAAGCATATGGATTTGTGAAAAGTGCAAGAATCTGCTTTGATAAAAGCATAAACATTGGTAAAGGCATATGCATTGGCAAAGAGCACATGGATTAGTAAAAAGCACATGCAGTGGTAATAAAGGATGCTTTGGTAAGGCACAAAGAGCACATGGATTTGTAAAAAGTACATGATTTGGGAAAATGCTCTTGCTCATAGAAAAATGTTACAACATTACCCATTTAATTGAATTACTTTGTACTCCTATCCTATGAAAATGTATTCTTTTTGCACGTATTGTACATTGGCCGATGGCCTACAAACCAAAATAAAAGAAGAATGAATGAATGAATGCACATGCATCAGTTAAACACCTCCTTGCTACAAGTCTCCATGGTCTAGGGAATAGGGTGCCTTGAGAGTGGAATTTTTTTGGTTTAATGCCAGATATTAGATGATGGTACTTGATGTTGCCCTGCCTCTCAAGCGCTTTTAAAAACACCTATGTTAGTAAAACACATGCACCAGTAATAATATTACTTTAGTATTTCAATGGAGATTTTGTATTGCCAAGAGAACTGATCCCTGTATGTAAGTGTGTTTCACTATCTGATCATCACACCTGTTGCCTTTCAGGTACTCATTGTGAGACGGACATTGACGAGTGTGAGTTGGCCAGACCCTGCCAGAACAATGCTACCTGTGTCAACCTCGTCAACAGCTTCAGGTGTGAATGTATGCCAGGATATGCAGGTAAAATTGGCTTAAACTGGTCATGTTAGTCTGCGCATAGGCTGGCAAACATGATAGCTCATACCATTAGGATCTATACTTCTCCAAAAAGTAGTCGCCTGATTGGTGGAGATATATGTTGGTTGAGGTGTATGTATGTAAGGGAAATGATACTAAACAAGGACATAATCTGAAGGAAAGTTCTATGGATAGTCAACTTCTTTCTTGCAATGAGTGCGACGTTTCGGTGTGGGTACTAACACCTAGGGCTGCGCAATATAACCGGTTTACTGGTATTTACCGTTATGACTTGCTTGATGACGGTGTTAGTAGGGGTGGGTATTGCAGAGAATTTTCATAGTGCGATATATTGTGATGCGAAAGTATATATTGCGATATGTATTGCAATATATTGCAAGAAATTTTGTTTTAACTAAAACTACTTATAATCGAGTTAATGCTTTTTTTTAATGATGACAAAATAAAAATGTAAATAATGTTTGGCACAAATGAAACAAGGAAAGGAACGATTTAAAAAACAGTAATATCCGAAGATTTCCGAGTGTTGCGAAGTTTTTCAAACACATGTCAAAATACCGGTTTTCGATCAGCGTATCGCAATACGTATTGTGTTCATATCTGAACTGGTAAATACTGGTAAATTGGTTATATTGTGCAGCCCTAGGTGTTAGTACCTACACTGAAACGTCGCACTCATTGCAACAAAGAAGTTGACTATCCATAGATCTTGGTTTTCCTTCATCTATACAACTTCTAAAATGCCTCTCAAAGAAGGACATAAACTACATATGAGTTTATTAAGTACTGCCAACAAGGGTTTTTCGACCCCACCCTGTTAGTCTGACATATTGATTACATAGTGTGAAAGAAAATTGTAAACATGAAATCTGTGTTCAGGTAATCATGATCCCGTTTCTGTAATACCATGAAGGATCATTGGAAAGGGTATTGCCTGATTTGACTGTAACTGTTAGTTGCCTGTGTCATACTTTCACCGGTCTAAGCCGCCTCTGTGGTGTAGTGGTAAGAGCGTCGACCTGGATAGTGGAAGGTAGCGGATCCTATCAGGGACCGCGTCATACCAAAAGACGTTAAAATAGGGTGTGTGTTGCCAGTGTTGGTCCCTGCCTGGTCGCTCGGCATTAATGGGTACAAGGACTGGTCAGCTCGGAGTCAGTATAATGTGTCTGAGTTGGGTATTCATGCTTCACTGCAGCATGGTATCTCAGTGAGTTAGCCCTATAGAACCAGCTTCAGTCTGGGCTAGTACAAGCAGCCGCACATACACACACGCATGCACATCGTCATATGAGTGAAATATTCTTAAGTGCAACCTCATTAAGTCCTTCCTCATCGGCGATGTCGTTGTTTTTTATTGTAACATTCAAGCTCTCGGTATTCCTTCAACTTTGTGTACATTTTGACAACTATCACTCCCATGTCACCTACTATTGATATTTTATGAGTGCTTCACAAATTACTGTTCCTCCCCTTTTGAAGGTCTGGCCTGTAGTGTGGACATCAATGAGTGTGCTGCCTCACCCTGTGGTATGGGGAGCACCTGTGTGGACCTCGTTAACAAATACAGGTGTGACTGTCGCACAGGTATGACAGGTGAGTACATACAGTTGCTGTCAGTTCAGGATTTAACTAGCTCATCATTCAATTTTCTTTATTACATTGAGTGTGCTGTGTAGATACCAACACTGTTGATACCAACACTACCAACACTGTGTAGAACTGTAGATACCAACACTGTGTAGATACCAACACTGTTGGCTACCAACAAGCTAGATAACTTGCTTGATATCATTGTTAGTATCTACACCAAAACTTTGTACTTGTTTGTTACGCATGTTACGTTTGAGATAACACTTTCTCAGTAAAAGACAATTCTAGGACTTTGGGGGTTGAATCCCATCCGTGACTGGATAATAATATACGTCTGCAATATAATCCACTCAGCCTCTGCAGCTTCCTCAAAAACGGTGGTTAGATTTCAGATTTTGTGTGCCGCAATTGGTGTCTCACTCTGTTAGTATGGGTTTGAATGCGCAGATGAGACTCAACCCCATAAGTACTAGATTCTGTACCCTACTGAGAAGTGTAACCCCAAATCTTACTTGTTGCATTTGGCTACTTTCTAGATAGCAGTGTGTATTTACACTCATTTTAATAGAGAAGTTGTAAATGAATAGTAATATCCTCCTTGCTTACAATACCAACTTTTAAATACCATTTAAAGAGGACCTAGAAGTTAGCGGAATACAAAACATGACAATGTACTTGTTATCTTTTAAATCTTCAGATATGAACATGACAATGTACTGTTATCTCTTCAGATGTGAACAACTTTTAAATGCCATTTTAGGGGACCTAGAATTACTGAAATACAAAACATGACAAAGTACTGTTATATCTGCAGGTGTTAACTGTACAACTTGTAAATGCCATTTAAAGGGGACTTAGAAGTTAGCGGAATACAAAGCAAGACAAACTATTGCTCTCTCTGCAGGTGTGAACTGTACAACAGACATCAAAGAATGCGAGTCCAGCCCTTGTCTTCACGGTGGTCAGTGTTCGGAGCCTCAGATTGGCCAGTTCTTGTGTGTATGTCCGAGCGGGGTGTCGGGGGCCACCTGTGAGATGGTCAATACTGCCAGCTTTGATGGCCTGAGCTACGTCCAACTACAGCCAGACTTCGCGGTGACTGGAAAGCGTCGGCGCCGGAGGGAAACGTCCAGCATGATAGGGATGAGGTTTACCTTTACGACATCTGTGCCCACTGGCCTCATCATTGTCGTGATGGGGGTGAGTCCAGTTACTGTTTGTCAGGTTTATTTAATTTACTTGTTGTTGTAAAACCTCCACTCAGTATTGTAATGTTCCAACAGCTCATGAAGATCCGGGTTACAGTTGTTCTCCAGCTTGTCGTGAAGAGGGACTAACATGCTGCACTTCGCTGACTTGGTTGACAATGTCAGCTATATGGCAGATCGATGTATGCTGTTGATAACTGGATTTGTCAGGTCCAGACAATCCAGTGATCTACAGCATGAGCACAGATCTATGCAGTATTGGGATACATAATTACTGATGACAGCAAGCCTGTCCACCTGATTCTGTTAGTCACTGACCCATGAAGGTCCAAGGTAAAGGCTACAGTGTGATTAGAATTGGCCTTCAGCAACCAAATTCTTTGTTGTTAGGGCAACTTACGGGATCATGTGATTAAGCTCGCTGACTTTGTGGACACATCATTGTATCCAGTTGTGCAGATCAATGCTCATGCTGTTGATCACATGACTAACAATTGCTGTCAAATCAGACAAGAACACCTTCACCTGGTTCTTTGCAGTATCGGGACACGTGAAGGTCCGGATTAGCATATTGATCTTCAGTAACCCATGCTTGTCGTAAGAGGCGACTGACGGGATTGGGTGGTCAGCCTCGCTGACTTGGTTGACGGGTCATCGGTTCCCAATTGCGCAGATCGATGCTCATGCTGATGATCACTGGATTGTCTGGTGCAGACTCGATTATTTACAGATCGCGGCCATATAGCTGGAATATTGCTGAGTGCAGCGTAAAACTAAACTCACTCACTCACTCTAATTATTGGTGCTTTTTACTTTGTGTTGAATAGTAGATGAAAATAATACACATTTCTGTGCTTAAGTATAGCTTCTGTGAACGATTGACTAGGTGGACAAGGAAGGGCGACCCCAGCACTTCAGCCTAGAACTGTACCAAGCTGCATTCTGGGTAACTGAGAATCGTGGCCTGGAGACGTCACAGAAGAGCATCCCATTGGGCCAGGCAATCAGCGGCATCTACAGTCACACTGTCGACATCATCATCCTGGACAGCTTTACCAGCGTCACCTTGGACCCAAACAACTGCAACAACTTGCCAACCTGCTATGTGTCCTTCACCTACAACCAGAGCATGGCCTTCACCTTTGAGCGTCAGATGTACCTGGGAGGGATACCAAGCGTAACTCCATACATTCGTAGCAAGCTGAAGACAGTACAGGGATTTGCTGGTTGTCTTGGGGTAAGTACAGATGTGTATGGCTTGACAGGCTCCTGTATCTGAAATACATAAGCAGGTTGTGACCACTTTTTCAAAGAATGTGATTGGATGACACTAACTGTAGCATTCATAAGTTTTGAATGATGTCATATAATGCTCTTCTTGAAGTTTGTTTCTATGTCTATCTAAGAGCCTTCAAAGATGCCTCTGTTCACCCAGCAGAAAATGGGTACCTGGTGGGATAAATGTGCTATTAACATGTTAATAGTGACATGTGGTCTCTATATAAATGCACTTATTATTATTATTATTATTAAGTAAAAGAATCTTGCAATGATACAACAGAAGATCTGTTTGTTGTAATTTACATCATCCGAAACAAAGTTTGAATATATTCTTTATCATATGTGAACTCAAAGATGCCTTCTGTTCACCCAGCAGAAAATGGGTACCTGGTGGGATAAGTCATGTGACTATTAACCTTCCAGTGCCAGGCAGCTTGGGTTATCTGCTTGGTAATAGTGAGCTGTCTGGTCCAGCTTAGATTGTCAGCTATTGCTGAGTGTGGCATAAAACTAAACTGACTCACTGGGGTGGTGTGTGTGTGGGGTGTCTGTTCAGTTCATCAATAGATAAAACAAAGTGAAATTAAGACTCTGAGCAAATCAAGTCCAAACTAGGTCTTATTATTACTTTTACCCATTCCTTCCAGAACCTGATGATCAACAGCAAGACCATGAGCCTGCTGCCCCCCTGATGGGAACTCCTCCTCCTCCGCCTCCCCTCCCCACCATCTCCAGCCAGTTCATGAAGCGCCCCACCCCAGGATGCTCCGCCCACGAGCCATGCAGCACTAACCTGTGTCGAAACGGTGGGACCTGTGTTGATCTGTGGACCAGGAAGTACTGTCAGTGCCAACCTGGATTTGCTGGAGAAACCTGTGAGTTCCAGAACATGGCCCACTTCTCCGCTGCTTCCATGCTGCACTACAGTGGTCTGGTGGAGATTAGGGAGCTGTCGTTCTGGCTCAGTGCCCCCAACTCTTCAGGAATGCTGCTCTACACGGTGAGACGATCATACAGCATCACTTGGTAATAACGGGAGAGCGATGATGACCGCCTCCGTGGTGTAGTGGTTAGAGCGTCCGCCCGGAGAGGGGAAGGTCGTTGGTTCAATCCCCGACCGTGTCATACCAAAAGACGTTAAAATATGGTACTTGTTGGTCCCTGCCTGGCGCTCGGCATTAATGGGTACAACAAGGACTGGTCGGCTCGGAGTCAGTTTACTGTGTCTGAGTGGGGTATTCATGCTTCACTGCGGCATGGTATCTCAGTGGGCTAGCACTATAAAACCAGCTTCAGTCTGGACTAGTACAAGCAGCCGCACATACCCATACACATACATGCACGTCGTCATATGAGCAAAATATTCTCAAGCACGACGTTAAACCCAATTTCACCTCACCTCACCTCACCTCACCTCACCTCACCTCACCTCACCTCAGAGCGATGATAACGTGTGTGATGAGGCTTCAGATGCTGCTGAAGTTCAGCTTTGACTAAAAATGTTGAGTGTTCTTCTGCTGAAGATGACCAGTGTTGTATTGATATGTTGAAATCTTGATATCACATGGAGCTCTTGGTGACTAATGTTGCTCTAATATGCTGAAATCTTGAAATCCCCATGTGCTTTAGGTGGCTTAGGTTGACATAAAACATGGAGTGTTTGTTTGCTGTTTAGGAAATAAAGTTCGCTCTACTCCAATGTGTTTTGTAATAAAGTATAGTTTTGCCCTGAACTATTATAATTAAAGCACAAGACGGTAGTCCGAAGTGCTTTGATGTTATAATAGTTCAGGGCAAAACTATACTTTATTACAAAACACATTGGGGTAAGCGAACTTTACATCTTTCTAAGATGCTAAATTTAATACTTTCTAAGGATAATTACGATTAATTTAAGACAGTAAACAAGCGGCGGTGTCGGTGACCTAAATTAAGAATGCTCGCGACAGGGCTAACTGGGCTGTTCTATTGATATGTCTGCCCCCTAACGTTAAGGCTAGGCGTTACCAGAAAAAACGAATGATAACAGTTTGATGGCGGTTTACGTTCGGATTAAATATCTTCCCTGAATTATTGTAATTACATCTGTCATTAGCGTAAACCATATGGGGCAATATGAGCGTCGCATTTCTACTACCAAGCGTAAGTTTAGATCAGTACATCCAGATGAAGCTGATTAGTCAAAGCGACATTCCACGATTGCATTGTGGGAATGTAAACATTCGCGAGCGTTACCGTGTCGCTGAAAACTTGTGTGTGTCGATTTGACACATTTTAACCGTCGTAAAACATAAACGTAATGTTTCCACCAGTGATGTTAGCTGCGTGAAGCATCTGCAAACCAAGAAACGGGATGCAACAGAGTAGTTTACTGTAGGAGGCTGTACGAGTCGATGACAACTGACATGCATCGTGATGTCGCTTACATTGTGACGTAATGTAAAATGGTTCGATTACGAGGGGGCAGACTAGAATGGCGCAGTGACAGGATAACGTCATTCTATTGTTACGTTATCAAAAAACTATACCTTTATTGTCTGATAATGTATTTTTTTTTCGATTGTTCTAACCGCTAGGCATCTTAGAAATGTGATTCATTTTGCCCTCAGATTTTAAGTGTTTGGGTTAATTACTAATATATGTTAAGTACATGCTATAAGTGACCAATATAGTCCTGAAAATCCTACTGTTTCATGAAGAATGTTTTTGTGCAGTCTGTGATTGATACTGCCCTATACTTCCTTCTGTGCTGGTTGATGAACGTGGCACTAAAGGAGTAGTGGTGTTTGACTGATGCTACCCTACATGTCACTTCTTTGCTGTAGGTGATAAATGTTGCCCTGAAGGGCGAGTGGTTAGCTGCTGTAGGAGACTAATGTTGCCCTACATGTCAGTTTATTTGCTGTAGGTCTCTAATGAGGCCCTAACAGAGGAGTGTGTAGGTGCTGTAGGAGACTGATGTTGCCCTACATGTCAGTTTATTTGCTGTAGGTCTCTAATGAGGCCCTAACAGAGGAGTGTGTAGGTGCTGTAGGAGACTGATGTTGCCCTACATGTCAGTTTATTTGCTGTAGGTCTCTAATGAGGCCCTAACAGAGGAGTGTGTAGGTGCTGTAGGAGACTGATGTTGCCCTACATGTCAGTTTATTTGCTGTAGGTCTCTAATGAGGCCCTGACAGAGGAGTGTGTAGGTGCTGTAGGAGACTGATGTTGCCCTACATGTCAGTTTATTTGCTGTTGGTCTCTAATGAGGCCCTAACAGAGGAGTTTGTAGGTGCTGTAGGAGACTGATGTTGCCCTACATGTCAGTTTATTTGCTGTTGGTCTCTAATGAGGCCCTGACAGAGGAGTGTGTAGGTGCTGTAGGAGACTAATGTTGCCCTACATGTCAGTTTATTTGCTGTAGGTCTCTAATGAGGCCCTGACAGAGGAGTGTGTAGGTGCTGTAGGAGACTAATATTGCCCTACATGTCAATCATTTCTATGCTGTAGGTGACCAATGATGCCTTGGCCTTGATGATTGACCGTGGACAGATCCGGCTGCACATTGTGTCGGGGAACACAGACACTGTCAGCCGAGTGGGACAGAATGTTACCAATGGTGACTGGTACAAAGTCAGCCTTGTGCTCACCGGAGGGAGGTACAGGATTCAAGGTAAGTCGATGTCCTCAAATGGCTGCCACCATCAAAGCTGACTCTAGAATGACTGCTATTTTCTCAGGAACCTTTTCTTATGTTATGTTAGGGGCACAAGCATCAGTATAGCTTCAACTATCTGTAATTTTTCATTTAAGCAAATTTAGGAATTGAGAAACTGGGAAAAGGACCGATACATTCTCCATCTGTAACTATATTTACTTACAATCTGTACTGAGTACTGACTGAGAATGGTTTTACGCCGTTTTTAGCAATATTCCAGCAATATCACGGCGGGGGACACCAGAAATGGGCTTCACAAATTGTATCCATGTGGGGAATCGAACCCGGGCCCTCGGCGTGATGAGTGACGAAGCTTTAACCACTAGGCTACCCACTGCCCTTACAATCTGTAACTTCATCGCCATGCAGCAACAACACTCACGCTCAACAATGCCAGGTCCAACAATCTCTCTCTCTCTCTCTCTCTCTCTCCATCTACCACACTGATATTCTTCTCTTAATCCTCCGTAGTGTCAACGCCAGACACAGGAGTGTTTGGGTCAGGAAGTGGGACGGTCAGCAGCTACATCCTCGTGTCCATGCCACTGTTCATCGGGAAGCTTCACGACCACCCTGCCATCGACAAGTGGAGACTTCGACCCAGCAAACTACCCACCTTTGAGGGGTATGTGATGCATGATTAAAGTACAATCAGTCAATCATGACCTACTTTGAATAACCTTGAGTACCAGGTCAAGAAAATCTAAGTATCATTCCAGTCCATCAGGAGAATAGTATGTAACTAGAGGAAAATAGTATATAATATAAGGAAACAAATATTCAATGCCAGGAGAATAGTAGATTATACTGAGGAAAATAGTATATAATATAAGGAAACAAATATTCAATGCCAGGAGAATAGTAGATTATATGAGGAAAATAGTATATAATATAAGGAAACAAATATTCAATGCCAGGAGAATAGTAGATTATATGAGGAAAATAGTATATAATATAAGGAAACAAATATTCAATGCCAGGAGAATAGTAGATTTTACGAGGAAAATAGTATATAATATAAGGAAACAAATATTCAATGCCAGGAGAATAGTAGATTTTACGAGGAAAATAGTATATAATATGAGGAAATTAGTATATAATGAGGAAAATAGTATTAAGTTGTGAGGAGAATAGTAGGTAATACATGTTTTTGTATAAGGACCATAGTATATGATGAGGAATATAGTATTTAATGTCATGAGAGTCATAGGTAATATAAGGAAAGTAGTATTTAATGTCAAAGGGAAATAGTATGTAATGCCATCAGAACAGCATACAAAACTATTGTACTTGCAAATAGTGTTTCAACAATGTCCAGAAAAGAAGACAAAGTGTGGGGTAGGCATCAAGCAGAAAGGAAGCTAGAGGTTCACTCAACCTAAAACAAACCTTTCTTTCATGACATTTTCTTTTATCATTTTAACAACAATGCTGAAAAGAAAGAGATCACTGGAAAAAAAGCTTGTTTCGAATTATGGTTCTTTGACCAAATATTCATGTAGTGAAGGCACGGTTAGCATTGATTGATGGGACAGTGAAGCATATTCAACTAATTATATAGAGAATACTAAACGATGTCCTGTGTAATACTGTATTATGAAACTACCAATACCATTCACTCATTTCATAAAATGGGATTACACTGGACTTAGTTTAGTATTTTATTTATTACTCACCCAACATTAGCAAAATAATATCGAGCAAAGTACTTTTATCTTAAGAATTCACGAGTGTGATGACTCTCAGCTTTCCGCGAGTTGAGCAAGGTCTAATACTATCGTGACAGAGGCATTAGCATTGTGACGTCATAACTGTAAACCACTTTGACGTCATACGTACGGCATCACGCGATCTTATTACACAATGTGTAATAACACTGTAAAATTATTAAACAGTGATATCTTCAACAGGTGAGTAATAAATCTGGTAATGGCATTCTGTTGGTTCATGTATAAAAGAGTCCATGTTTCTTCTCCAGGTTTGAAGGCTGCCTGCGAGATCTGACCATCAACTACAACCCCATTGACCTCAAGTCCAATGTAGCTTCCATATTTGGCAACGATCCCCCTTCCCCTACCCCAGGGTGTAGGCGGGAGGAGACATGTAGCCCCTCCCCCTGTCAAAATGAGGGCGTGTGTGTTTCTGGCTGGGAGGGGCCCACTTGTCAGTGTCCGTCTAACTACCACGGACAGAACTGTACAGATGGTAGGTACAGGAGGTTACGTTGGCCAACTATTGCACTTAAATCAAAGTATAGTTGATATCATTATTGATGAAGCAGACAGATGATATAACAGATCATAGTCATTAAAAATGTTGCTTTTTCAACTTCTATTAGTGCAGTTCGGTTACATCTGGAATGAACCATTACATTTGTGTTGATTGTTACTTTTGTAGAAGCATTATTCACCTGTGGAAAATCTGGGTTAGAATTGGTCTTCAGCATCCCATGCTTGTCGTACGAGGCAACTAATAGGATGGTCAGACTATTTTCAGACCACCGCCATGTAGCTGCAGTCAGGGCCCCGGGCCCCGGATAAGGGTACATGTACGGATAAAACATGTGCACGATACGGTAGGAAATAATTTAGAAAACGTAGCAGATACGACCACAGCAATGGTGTACGGTCTTAGAATCATTTACAGACGTATTTATCTGAAAAAGTATTGTTTTATTGTTTATTGACCTGTTTACACAAGAGTAGCAATGCTGTGGTGCATATATGAAATGAAACACAAGATTACTGATATCCCATTAAATTCCATTCAGCACTCTAAATGTACACTTAAGTTTTACCAGTACTCCTATATTGAAAAAATAAGGAGTACGTACTCCTGATGTTGAAAAGTTATCTGGAGACCTGAGCAATATTGCTGAGTGTGGCGTTAAAAAACTGCAAAAACAAACTAAAGCATTATGTAACCCTGATTATCCTGGAGGCCTTCAAGAATCAGCTTTGAACATGTGTGGAAGCGAATCTGAGGCTTCAAAGTGATTTGCCAGCTCTTCAACTGATGTGCCAGCTCTTCAACTGATTGGCTGCTGCTGTGACAGTCTATGGTTGTTTCTGTGTCTACGTCTAAGCTAATGCTAGATTTTAGTGCACTGACATACGAACATAATTAAACAAATAAGAACAATATATTGAATTCAACTGACCAATCCTTGAGTTATTGCCTTTATAACACGTTCCAGGGTTACAACCGGAGTGAGTGAGTGAGTTTAGTTTTATGACGCACTCAGCAATATTCCAGCTATATGGCGGCAGTCTGTAAATAATCGAGTCTGGACCAGACAATCCAGTGATCAACAGCATCAGCATCGATCTGCGCAATTGGGAACCGATGACGTGACAACCAAGTCAGCGAGCCTGACCACCTGATCCCGTTAGTCGCCTCTTACGACAAGCATGGGTTACTGAAGATCAATATTCTAACCCGGACCTTCATGGTTTGGTTACAACTGGAACCTCTAAGGATAGTAACATTTGAAGATGAATTAGTACCTGATATAGATGGTCTCTCTTCTTCAGTGTCCTCATCGACCTTCAGCGGCAACAGCAGCTACATCCATGTCACCATCAACAGGTCCATGTTTCCATTTGGAGACACAGGCAGCTTCGATTTCAGGACCAGGCAGGCTACCTCCACGCTCGTCTACCATGAGCTGTTCTACAGCAATGGGTTGCTTAGCAACCTCATAGAGTACCGGACTTACAGGGAGAAACTCCAGATCAGCATCACAGGAACAAGCAGTGAGTTGAGGGAAATTGTTTTATATAATTTGAGTGAACTTCAGTTTGAGATGGAATGGAAACATTTTTATATTTATATATTTAGGATATTTATATACCGCACATATCCATGCACCTAGTACATACTCAAGTTGATGGGTTTTTGTCCCTCAATCATTGGATGTCAATCTCAACGACACATTGTATTATTAATCTCAACTCCCTGGGGATCATACAACTCTTGCAGCCACAAGGCGCACCAAGTTATTGTGGCTTTCCCATCCTTACGAGGGACCCATTCACAGCTGGGTGGACTGGGACACATAGTCACAGTAGTTCCTTTCCACTCAGCGGCTCAAGTCAATATTGTTGAAGATTTGTAGTTTCAGAAAATTGTTCAGATTGATGTTATTGTGGTGTTCTGTAGGCGACAAAATATGTTAACAGGATTCCATTCCACAAGTGGCCATCTTAGCAATGTTTTGTATGTTTAGTTGTAATACACAAAATAAACAAACAAAAACAGGCCACTCCCACTATTAGACTACTGTTTCCTACACAGAGAGAGAGAGAGAGAGTGTGTGTGTGTGTGTGTGTGTGTTGTCTACAGGGTGTTTGTTATTGATTAGATAAGCAGTCTCTGTTTATATTTATTTAAGACTTTTTAGATATTTTTGTTATGTTTATATTTATTTAAGACTTTTAAGATATTTTTGTTATGTTTATATTTATTTAAGACTTTTAAGATATTTTTGTTATGTTTATATTTATTTAAGACTTTTAAGATATTTTTGTGTTTATTGTGCTTTTAACACAAACAGTGGTAAGACCACTTTTCTTACATCACCTTTTTGATTTACACAGCGCACACACTATTTTTGTAGTATAGGATTGTGTTAATGCAAAAATATAATGAAGGCAATTCTTGATTAAATTCAGTATATTACCCCTAAACCTAAACTTAAACCCATCCCTAGATACAGCTGTTATGAGAAAACCTTTTTGAGCAAACTACAATATCAAGCTCTTGAATATTCAATGTTAACCCTGGTATTTCTCATCGTTTACATGAAAACCTTGGAATCATGGGAATAATTTGAATGAGTCAAACAGTTTGTATTTGACACGCAGTGTAACGAGGATCCTCTTAAGTCAGTGATTTTCTACATCTTAAGTGATATAGTGTGTCGCTGAATTTCAGATCCTGTTGTATTTTTCAGGGTTTTTGGAACCTGTGACTTTTGCTAAAACTGTTGCTGATGGCAACTGGCATACTGTGTATTGGCGCAGACGAAACAACCAGCTGAGGATTACCATGGATACGGAGACAAGGACGATACAGACCAGCTTTAACCCGTATGACAACAGACTTAACACCACCATCATGGTGTACCTGGGTGCCAAGCCCTTCAGACCAGGTGAGTCTTCATACAGACACAGGGGCGGTGGGCTAGCCTAATGGTTAAAGCGTTGGCTCGTCACGCCGAAGACCCGGGTTCGAATCCCCACATGGGCACAATGTGTGAAGCCCATTTCTGGTGTCCCCCGCCGTGATATTGCTGGAATATTGCTAAAAGCGGCGTAAAACTAAACTCAGTCAGTCAGTCATACAGACACAGGAGCAGTGTGCAAATAGCCACTGACCCACTAGCCCGTATCTAGTAAAAATCCAGTCAGGCAAGTAAATCTCCACAGTCAATGGCCCAACTGGCTAGTGAATTTTCATGGGGTCAGAAAATGTGTCATTTTGTAAATATATCACTCTCTCCGATTTGTTCATTTATAATACACTTTTAAATTATGCAAGATTATGACCAAATAAAAATGATCATCGTATCAGCAGCTTAATAGTGAAACCCATGTCTACATTCAAATTTCGGGCTAGTGAATTATTTTGTGGGCTAGTAACTTTCAGGCATACCTAGCCCGACTGGCAAGCAAAATTTGGAAACTATTTCGTACACTTCATGTGAGGTGTGTCAGAAGGTCACATACACTACCAGTATGTGTCCATACTTTTGTGGGTCGTCTTTTGTGCAATGTCACCCCAGCATGATAAGGTAGAACAATTTGATATTGATGAGAGGGGCGGTGGAGTAGCCCAATCGTTAAAGCGTTAGCTCGTCACGCGGAAGACCCGGGTTTGAATCCCCACATGGGTACAATGTGTGAAGCCTATTTCTGGTGTCACCCGCCGTGATGTTGCTGGAATATTGCTAAAAGTGGCGTAAAACCAAAATCAGTCAGTCAGTGATATTGATGAGAGGGCGTGAGCTTTTAATCTTAGTTTTTGCATTGTCTTGCAGCTATTGGGTTAGTGTAGGTGATGGCTCCCCTCGTTGGCCTTGAACGTTCAAAGTTCATATTGCCTTGAGGGGGAATGCAAAAATATGCATACAATCTACATTATGAAGAGTTTGTGGCTTTGAAGTCCATTAAGTTCATGTCGGCAACTGAATGGTGTAAAGATGGTTTGCTCAGATGAAAGAGATCATAACATTTTGTCTCAGGTTTCTAGAGAGGCCAAAGTGTTAGTTGTAGGGCCTAGTATGTTCATCATCAGCCATTAATTTCTGCTTCCTGGCATCTAAGGTACTTGGAAACTTTCTTTCATTTCTTATCGACCACGTGTCTCAGATACACTAGGCTTTAACTGAGCAGGTATATGTACTATTGTGTATAACTAAAGCATTGCTGTAGTGACACAGAGTGCTGTCCAAACCAAGGGAGATAACTCTCACCAACTACATAGTGTCCGCTAGTTTTAATGAAACAATGGCAAAGCTTACCAGAATTGTTTGTGATGCACTTAGGCCTTCATCTAAGGCAAGACAGAGTATTAATACAGTGGAAGCTGTCTAAACCGGCACTTGTCGGGACTGAAGAAATAATCGGGTTTAGACAGTGTGCCAGATTGTAGAGCTGACACGGTTACCTACGACTAGAGCTGAACCAGTCTTGTCACTCCCATATACATTGTTGTATCACATGGTTCTCTCAATTAGTGCACACATCGACTCAACTCACTAATTACATGTACAAGTGAACTAAGATTAAATTATCTTTGTCGGAAACCATGTAGTTTCAAGGCAGGATTAATTGGTGACAATACACATTCGGACGACTCCTTGCTGCATGCCGGATTAGACAGCGCTGATTACTGTATGAACACATATTCGGGCGGCTCATTTCATGCTGAGATCCAGAATTGACAGCTGCCGGATTGCAGAGCTTTTAAATGATGATAAATGTATTAGCCTGGGACAGGACCGAGATTTTATGCCAGTGTTGACAAGTTGCCGAATTTGACAGCTGCCGGTTTTGACAGCTTCCACTGTATAACTATGATTTTTTTTCCAGGTGATCCCAGTTATATGATTGGCTACTTCAAGGGTTGTTTACGTAACGTGACCTTCAACAACCAGTACCTGAACTACCTGCCTAGCCACGCCCCTCAGTCAGGAGTGGATGCCAGGAATCACAGCGTACGAGTTGGTTGCCATGGTGACGACGTCTGCCACATCAGCCCCTGTTCTGCCAACTCCTACTGTAAAGATAAGTGGAACGATCACTCGTGCCTGTGTATGGAAGGCTGGGAGGGAGACAACTGCCTTCAGAGTACAGATGATTGTCAAGGTCAGATGTGTCTGAACGGTGCCACGTGCGTCGATGGTCACAAACAGTTCACATGTTCATGCACCCCTGGATTTACTGGGCGGTTCTGTGAGTCGAGCTACCACCCCTGTAACTCCAACCCCTGCTCCCCGACCAACACAGAACAATGCTTGTCTACCACGCTCATCGACTACGAGTGCAAGTGCAAGCCGGGATGGTCGGGCAGGAACTGTACAGAGAATGTAAATGAATGTGAAGGCAATCCTTGTCAGAACCAGGCTACATGCTTAGATCTTATCAATAGTTACAAATGTGAATGTCTGGATGATTACTTTGGTGACAATTGTGAGTACAAATACGTGTGCTCATCCAAGCAGTGTTTCAACGGAGGCCGATGTGTTTCCAGCGATGACAACGCAAACTACTCCTGCTTGTGCGACAAGAGATACATCGGCCGCAACTGTGAGACATTCAACTACTGCTACAGCCACCAATGTAGCCCCAACTCCACCTGTGTCCAGAGCAACACCGCCTACGCCTGTAACTGCAGCACAGGCTTCTATGGTGCTTATTGTCAGTTCCGGGATTATTGTGAAAGTCAGCCTTGTACGAATGGTGGCGAATGTCGTAACGACAAAGATGGTTTCCGATGTCAGTGTTCGTTTTTCTACACTGGGAACCAATGTGAGACTGCTGTAAATCAGTGTAAGTTTAACCCTTGTTATAATGGTGCTACGTGTTTCTTCAACGAAAGTTCTCCCGACCAGAAATACACCTGTCTGTGTCATAATGGGCACACTGGACAACACTGTGAGACAGACATTGATGAATGTGCGGAGAACCCGTGTCAGAACGGTGGAACATGTCAACAGAGCTCTACTGATACTTCCAAGCCATTTTACCCAGGGTTCAAGTGCACATGCAAATCAGGATTTACTGGACTTCGTTGTGAAAATGACACCAACGAGTGCGACAGCCAACCTTGTAGACATGGCGGAGTATGTGAGGACTACATCGACGGATATCGCTGCGTCTGCTCCAAGGGCTTCCTAGGTATCAACTGTGAATATGACTATCGAGGGTGCAGCTCATCTCCATGCCAAAACAATGGTCGATGTGCTGAAAACGAGGACAAATCGTACAAGTGTGAATGTCCGCCTGGCTTCAGTGGAACGTACTGTGAAAATGATATAAATGACTGTGAGTCCCACGTTTGTCAGAACGGCGCCAGGTGTGTTGACCTTGTCACTCAATATAAATGTGAATGTCTTCCAGGATATACAGGCACCTTCTGCGAAAATATTACCGATTCGTGTTTCAGTCAGCCATGTTTTAATGCAGGGAAATGCACCTATCAGGGTTTGTGTAGCTGCTCGGACGTCATCTCGCGCTGCGGCTGGCACAATGAGACCTGTCAGGCTCAGTCCTGCTTCAACAGACCAGGATGTTCGGCACACTCCGAGTCCTATCTCTGTGACTGTCGGGGGACTGGCTTCAAGGGGCAGCAGTGTACCGAGGATGAGGACGAGTGCGCCATAGTGGGTTGGTGTCAAAATGGTGGAGTGTGTGACAACACTGTTGGAAGCTTCAAGTGTGACTGTACAGGATTCACGGGCAACAGGTGTCAGATTGACATTGATGAATGTAACAGAACCAACCCATGCTATAATGGAGGTAAGAATTGTGGAAATACAATCATTGATAAAAATACATTAATAAATAATATATTATGTTTTCTCGTTTCAGACAAACTATTGCAAAAGTTATAAATTCTAATGATGTGTTTGAGGAATATTGCAAAAAGAATACAGTTGTTTCTGGCATGGTGGTTGTCTCCCTTAGACATCGCAGGATGTACTGGTCATTGATGCGATAATTAGTCTCTCGCCCCATATACATGCTCATTGGCGTAACCAAAGTAGTAAAGATGTCTCACTTTCATCACTTTGAGCATAACTCAAACATTAATCTCAGATTTACAGCTATATTACTGATAACTCTTAGTGGTTAAATCATTTCCCTGTGATGTCAAGTGTGTGGGTTTAATTCCCAACATGGATAAAATGTCTAAATCATGTTTTGATGTTGCTAAAAAGCAGAATAAAACCCAGCTCAATCACACACTTATGTACATAATATAATATTTGTTTTCTGGAATTTGTTGATACATTTTGACTCTGCTCTGTTCCAGGTATCTGCGTGAACTTGCCCGGCTCGTTCCGCTGTACCTGCCCTGAGGGATGGACTGGTCCAACATGTGGACAGAACATTGATGATTGTGAAACAAAACCATGTCAGAACGGGGGACAGTGTATAGACCTCATGAACAATTACGTCTGCATCTGCAGTGGCACAGGTTTCCATGGTGACAGGTGCCAAAACAACACAGATGACTGTGGCGGCCATGTTTGTCAAAATGGCGGTCGGTGCATTGATGGAATTAAATCATACACATGTGATTGTGCTGGAACTGGGTATACTGGCGCCCTCTGTCAAACCAAGGAGAAACCGTGCAAGAGTGGTCCTTGTATGAATAACGGAACCTGCATCGATGTGGCAGAAACATTCACCTGTGACTGTGTAGGCACTGGGTACAGCGGGACTATTTGCCAGGTGGATGTAGATGAGTGTGTGATGGGGTCACACAGGTGTAGTGAAGGGTCCAGCTGCCTCAATGTCCGTGGTGACTACAACTGCACATGTGCAGCTGGGAGAGGTGGTAAGCAGAAAATGACAGTATTACCTGCCCATTGAAGACATCAATGCATTTTAAACTGATTTATATTAGATCCTTGTCAGAATGATGAAATCTGATTGGTCCACATGATCTTGATGAAATACCTCATATCATGCTAAAACCCATGTGGAAAATATGCATAAAGTCAGAAAGCGAACATAAAATATCCAAATCATCATCATCATCATCATCATCATCATCATCATCATCATCATCATCATCATCATCATTGACCTAGCTAAAATGAAAAAGGCTGTTACGAGCCAAAGAAAGTCAGGTGACACAATGCAGCTCATGTAACCAAACCTCCAACAGCCATTTTGTACAATTTCGATTTCTTTAACTTCTTGAACAATGGTAGATTGAAACAAGTTGATAAGATAAAGGTATACTCCCCAGGGAGTTGAGATTGATAAAACGATGTGCCGTTGAGATTGACATCCAATGATCGAGGGAAAAATACCAGCGCCTTGAGCATGCACCAGTTGCGTGGATATGTGTGCTATATAAATATACTATAATAATAATAAAATAAAGGTATTGTTCCAGCAGCACTTGAGGTATATGTGTAATACTTAACATATGATGCAGAAAATAACATCAACCATTGTGATACTACTACAACACTGGTGTATGCATGACGATTGGGAGCTTGTGCTGAAACCTGGTTGATTAGACATATTAGATATAGGAGTACTCGCTTAAATTTTATAGCTACTGTTGATATCATCCCATTGTTCTAACTATGTGTTTAAGTCTAAGAAGATGTTGGCATTAGCCGTTTACGGGTAAGACCTTGAATTGGGTTTTCATGAGGGCACTGAGACTTTGGAAAGTGGTGTCAGTGTGGATAAGTCCAAACTTACTTTTGTTGATGAGTGTCAGTATTTTCGATATGAAAAACTTGAAACAAAATAATATTTCAAATAATATCAGTGTTTTAGGTATAAAAGCTATCTACCATATGTGGCAGAGTAAATTGTGTGATTGTAATATAATAATAATAATAATGTGGGTATTTATATAGCGCTACATCCAGGTACTAATACCCGCTCATGGCGCTACAATACTATAGGAGAAAAGAAAATAGTTAAAACTATTTACAGAGAGACAATTGAACATAGAAAGTCTAGTAATAGGCAAGACGAAAAAAGTGGGTTTTTAGAGATGATTTAAATGTGTCCAAAGATTCAGCATTCTTGATGTGAGTGGGCAAGTTGATATCTGGTATGTCTCACTTGTCAGCAAGGCATTTTGATGTCATTTTTAATAGCCATGTCTCCTAGACGATGTCACCTCACCCAAGTGATATCTTCTGTAGAATCCAGTTAAGATCGATTGTCTGATAAAAGTGTAACACCTAAATATTTCCTTATTTGGAATTGCCTTGCTCTTTCAGGTCGTTACTGTGAAACAGCTGTTGCACTTCCGGTGGTTGGTGGAGTTACTGGTGGCAACGAGGGAGTTGTTGCAGCGTGTGTGGTGATACTGCTGTTACTGGTGGTTGCAGCTTTGCTGTACGCAGCGTGGTATACAAAGCGCAGTCGCAAACTTCAGGGGAGATATAAGCCAGCCCAGGTCGAACAGAGGTCAAGTGCAGAGATTCCTATGGAGAAAATGATTGACCCAACGAATGGCGAGAGACTCATATGATTAAAGAGAGGCGGGAGATACATTTGAAGCCAATGGGGAGATCATCGTGAGAGACATTAGAGACTTGAAGGAGATATTGAGAAAAATACATGTAGCATGGAGAAGCCTTGTGTCACACATAGAGAGAGTCTTCTGTCACACATGGAGAAGTCTTCTGTCACACATGGAGAAGTCTTCAGCCACACATGGAGAAGTCTTCTGCCACACATGGAGAAGTCTTCTGTCACACATGGAGAAGTCTTCTGTCACACATGGAGAGAGTCTTCTATTGACATTGTAACAAATGAACAGGACTCTTAGGCACGTGGAGAAAGACTCTGGCATGAAAAATAGAGAGGACTATCAAAGAATTTGTCGAAACTTTTTGGTTGAGAGTCGAATGAGACAGCAGAAGAGTGAGTTGTATACAACAGACTCTGAGAGTCATATATAACAGAGAAACTTGTATTTGACAACTGAATGAGATCTTTCCATGTCTGAGGAATTTAGCTGGAACTAGGATGCTGAATTGAAAGATGTGGGGTGGCAAGCTGGACAAATAACACTTTTAATTACCTTTGTGAGAATGAATGTGAAATGGAAGAAAATATTCAAGGCTCAATCTTCCTTCATGTTTCATCCCTCTGTGATTGCACTGACTTAGGAATCTCACTGTACATTACTGACCACTGATAAAGGTGGTTACTGACCAACTGAATCTTTGGTGTCAAGGACACTTATTCTGCATATTGAGTGTGATTGGACATCAGGCTTGTGCCAAGTTGTTCCTGCACCATTTTGAATATTGAAGCACCAAACATATCATTTGCACATTCCGGTTATATTTGGCCTTCACCTTGACCTTGAATGCTCAAGAGGTTGTGTGGACTGATGACCTTGACCTTGAGTGCTCTGTCGATCTTGTCCAAGTGTTTATCAGGACTTTCATGTTACATTGACCTGACATACCCAGTAGACATCTTGTAGGTGATATCTGAATAGTTCTGTTACCAGTTGATGTCTCTTATGACAACCAGCTTTTTCCATTGTCACACTGAGATGACTGATTATGACATAGACAATATTATTTTTAGACTGAAATACATTTCCAAGAGATCATAAATTGTACGTTGATAAGTTTTTGTTTTGATTAATAGAAATTATCAGAAATTTGGGGTTTACTGTTGCTAGGTAATGTGAATGGTTGCTGTTTGCCAGAAAAGCTTGAACTTTATTCGAGGTTTTTAGCTATTCAAGCATTTTAAACAGGCTTTATCTTCTCTGACTGCCAAATGCTATGTTTTACCCCAATGATAAAGAATATATATCTACCATAATTAACGCAAAATGAATCTACCATAATCAACACATTAAGCACCCTGTTTCACTGTGCACTTGCAGGGTGACTTCTTGACCAGTCTGTAATGAATCTGTATCAGATTCTCCTATATAGGATTGAAAATTGACATATTTTACACATTTTCTTGTGTAAATTACACTGTTTTACTGAAAACTGCAGCACAGAAAGTGGTATATAATTGCCAAATGTTCAGAAATATTTTCATCAATGTTTGACCTAACTTTTGCCCTACTGCTTGATACCATTAATCTTGCGCGGTGTATATGGTTTTAATAAGCACCTCCTTGGGTAATTTCATTAGTGCCCGGGGCGCTTATTACAACGAATATGGTATTTAACAATTGTGAAAATGTTGGTGGAGCAAGGCTCATCGGCATGTGTGCAGTATTGCAATATTGGAGTTATCATTTGCAGACTGTCTGCCTAAACTTATAAGTACCAGGTATTTCATTGTGATGAATGCTGGAAGTTATTAGCAGTGGTAAAAGAAAGAGGATGTGTACAGATTCTGTCAGTATTAAACAGACTGGGGGTGGGTGATACGGAGATTTACCACACACATTGTTTTATCGCATCATAAGTAGTGCTCCACTAGTCATACACGTAACAGTATTTTCTAAACTGTTTTATTGTAGATAATATTATATGCATCATAAGTCATTATTTTTGTGCCAAATGTAAATTTTTCCATTATCTAGAGTAGCTAAATTCTTTATCATATAAACAAAATACTCATCTGCTTTGTCAGAATAAAAGCTGTCTTCCGCATTATTGAAATTTTTGTGTTCAAGACGTTAAGATGTATTTGTATATTTCACAGTTTCAGTGGATCTGATGACCTTGAAAACAAAATGATTGAAATTCATTCACATCAGATTTATTGCTTATTATTCATTTAAAATGGAAAGGTTAATAAATTTGTATTACCTACTGAAACAAGATATTTTGTTTCACATTTATCCATGCAAATATATTTCTATGACAGTTGATTTAGTGAGTGAGTGAGTTTTTAGTTTTATGCCGATTTTAGCAATATTCCAGCAATATCACGGCAGGGAACACTAGAAATGGGCTTCACACATTGTACCCATGGGGAATCGAACCTGGGTCTTCAACGTGAAGAGAGAACGCTTGAACCACTAGGCTACCCTGCCGCCCCGACAGTTGATTTAACTTTCTCCAGTTCCACTTACCATTTTCAAAGAAAGAGAATCTGTATAAGAGAAATTAACAATCCAATTATGATCAGATCTTATTGCTTGCTGCCTGACATATAGATCTGACATATGGATCTGACACATGGATCTGAGGACGGCACATTACAGGTCTAGGACAACCTTCCATCAGACCAATCAGGGTTTTCGAATTATATTCCATCATCTATCCTTACTTCAATGGAAGGGCGGTGGGGTAGCTGAGTGGTTAAAGCGTTCACTTGTCACCGAAGACCCGGGTTCGATTCCCCATATGGGTACAATGTGTGAAGCCCATTTCTGGTGTACCATGCCGTGATATTGCTGGAATACATGTATTGCTAAAAGCAGCGTAAAACTAAACTCACTGACTCACTTCATGGAATAAACATTTGAAGCAAAAGAATAATTTCACAGTGTGTGTGCAGTATATGTACAATCTTAGCCATCAATTAGATATTCCAGAATTCTTTTGTGCAGATTACAAATATTGAATCGAGTATCGAGACTCAAGAAAGCTGTTCACTACGAATGTTAGTAATGTTACTTCTTGTTCGTAATTTCATTGGTTTCAAAGTTAGTGAAAGCTGGCTTAGTGAAATCATTGATTGATGAAAGATGGCTATGGCATGAAAATTTAATGAATGTCCTCAAGTATTTTTGTAATGGCAGTCAGCACAAAGATCTGATTTAAATGATTGGAAAATATACAACCAGAACGGTCTCATTGAACCAGAATGGTCTCATGGAACCAGAACGGTCTCATGGAACCAGAACAGTCTCTTATCATCCATGTCTCATTTGTTTACTGTTCATACACATCAGTAGACGTTCAATCGTCATGGCAACCACATGTTTATTAACCATGGCAACCAGTTATCAATGGCATAGTCGTTAGATACGACTCATATCATAACATGTTGCCTTCCTGTTAACAGTGATGAATACAGATGAGTAAATCTCTGATTGGTCATCGTGTTGGTCATCATGTTGTCATACAGAAGGGCTTCATTCCACTGATCTCAGTTGAACCAGAATGTTTATTTTCTTGGTTTTCTAATATATTTAATTAATTTTGGTTTTAGGAATATTGACAACTACTGATTTTGATATGATGACAAATTTGTCGATAAATGCTTTCGTTCTGTAATATCAACCCAACTTGATAACTCCGCTAATCATAGATAAATGGAAAAGATAAAGTAATATCACCAAAATTAGTTTTTGTAATGCTTAAATACCAGATGAATCTTGACACCTTAATTAATGTACATGCATACAAAATTTTCATACGATGAACATATCGGGAGAAATAGATATACTCCGTACCTTTTTTGCAAATCTGTTGTGATATCTCTTCTCTGATGATTACATAAAATACAACTTGAAGTTAAAGAATATCTTTTTTTCCATATGATTTTAATCTGTCATGTCATGGGTCTCTTTAACTTCTTTTGAGATGTAAAATTAGAGAATATTGCTGGAGTATAATTGATATCAAATATATCAACACAGCTCGTTCAAAGCTCTCAGGTGTGCTGAGTAGTTGAAAACTTACAGTGTAACTATTGATCTGAAAAGAAATGACCGCCAGTGTAAACAGGACTTAAACGTATCTTGACAGTACAAAATTCAGCAGCTCGGCTTCGGTCATTGAGATTTGTGATGTCATGTCATGTGGTTGTCATGGTAACCAATGACATCACAATGATCTGCCAAGCATTTTGATGCAATTTCACCTAAGCGATATCTCTCGTATTGAATGATAAATGGTTATTTGGGTCATCAAGACTGTAGGTATTCTGGTTCAATACTATGCACCATTGTCTATCACAAGTGTTACTTTCATATTTATCATGAATCATACCAGTTTGTCATACCATTATGTCATACCATGATATCACCCTGGCCTATACATCCTGTAATAAAGTCATCACTCTGACCTTCCGCAACATCTGGACAATCATTTACAAAATAACATATATTTTGTAACAAAATTATTGAAGTATAAAAAAGTAATGAGGTGAATTTTATATGTTGAACTGAATATTTCATGAATGATATTTTCGGCAGTGTAAACGTCACCAGCTGCTTTTGGTTTTCGTAGATAATTTTGTTAGATGCAAGTACTTCCATATGAACTAGTTACCTAGCAACCATTTCCGATGTTTTCAAGTGTTTTCATTGTTAAGACTATCTGCTCACAACTACTGTTAACCCACAATGGTATATTTTTATACAGTAAGTATTTACAATTTTCAAATCTCCTCAGTGTTGTGTGTTGTCCAAAGTGTCATTTTTTCAAGTGCAATGGAATTTTTTATAGGTAGGTATTATCTACGAGTTCTGTGTACACATGATTTTTGCCTTTCTAAAAGGTTTGTTTTGAGGATAGCATGATTTGTTATCGTTCATTGTCAATGAAATTGAATGGAACAGTACATTCTGTCTGTTGGCCTTGTTACTTTGTTTATAAGCTCTATGTACGTAGAAGCTTTCTTGTATATGTCTATCAGGTGAGCTCAGGGAGGTTGTCGAAAACTTGCATTTCCGTGTTCCCTGCTTATTCAATGTGATTCCTAGACTGGTTTGCATGCAGTTCAGCCATTGCCCAGCAATACACTATGTGGGGATATTGTGTCAGTAAGTTACAAGGAACCTATGTTGATCTTAAGGGGTGACTAAATGCAATGTTTCTCGTGTAGATGATAAAACACCAAGTGCTTGATAACCAAAATGGATACAC